TACTCACGAAGGGCCCCATGAGGTAACGATTAAGAACGACCTCGACTGACAACTGAGGGTGGAGGTGGTGCAGGCCTAGAACTGATATTGCTTCTCAAGGGGCCCGAAGTACGAGTCTTCTTTCTAGGAAGAGCAGAAAACTCGATCGGGCCGAAAAATTTCCCAGGCCACTCTCGATCAACACGGTCTCTAGTAGGAGCCAAGGTCTCTACCTCCTCAGCATCCTTCACTCTGCTTACCAAAACATCAAATATCTCATCTTGGTGAGTCACAACCTGCCGGCATAATTCATATCTGAGTCCAAGAGCGAACTTACGGCATCTATCTCTCTCGGTGGGAACCAAGCTAGTACCATATTTTAACAACTTTAGAAATTCCATCTCGTACTAAGAGACTGACATATCCCCTTGCACCAAATCCTGAAATTATTATCGTCTCTCAACCAGATAACGCTCTCCTAGAAAACGCTCCCTGAAGCGCTCTTTAAAGAAATCCCAGGTCAAATAATCAGTCGGAACACTACTGACCATTAACTCCCACCAGGTGTGGGCATTACCATCTAACATCGCTACTGCACTCAGATATCTCTTAGTTGGGTCCAACCCCAACTGATCCATACGTCTTTCAGTATCCTAGAGCCAATCTTCCGCTTCAGTAGGAGCTCCACTAATCTGTCCTCCAAAAGTTTCGACTCTATTGGCAATCAGAGTCTGAGAAATAGGAACCTCGGATACAACACCAGCAGCTCTGACCGCTCCCTGAATCAACTACAGAAACTGTCTACCAAAATTCTCATCTAATGTAACTCTAGTAGACTGAGCTCAATATCGGTCGCTCCTCTAAACGGAATAGTCATGCTAATACCAGAGGTAGAAGGTAGATCTATAGGGGTCGTAGGAGCAAGATCATCTATCGGAAGTGGGGATCTACGCGTATCTCATCTATCGGGTCTGCAAATCTAACCACTCGGCCGCGACCACGACTATTTCGACGACCACTTCTAGAACTCATCTTGGTGGATCTCGTGTTTACTACAGAAGATAAAACCTAGGGTTAGATTGACACTTGGAGTCTCGAACACAATTAAAATCGTAAAAACTTTGTGACATGACCTTAATGACTTATTTTGTAAAATATTTCAAAATCGTATTTTCAATTTGGACTCATTCACAGTCCGATGTTTAAAAGCCAAAAGCTCTGATACCACTAAATATAACTCCTAGACCCAGCCTATGTGTTTCAACTAAGTCTATCAGGTTACATTAATGATTCTTTAAGACGTTTTCCAAAAATATTATTCAATAATTTAAAATCATATTATAAATGACATTTAAAATAATTAATGATAAAACCCAACTCATGAATATTAAAAAACAACAAATTAATTTAAAACATTTCGTAAAATTTGGATTACAATAAACTGAATATCAGTAGCATATGCAATAGCCGTCACGGAAACAAATATTTTGAAATAAAGGCCCATGTTACCAAAATAAAGTCAACTTGAAAGATAAAAACATTACAATCAGATACCACAAGAGATGTACTGATCCTCCAAGTGCTTGATCCAGGATGTCTAACCAAAAGCATCTGAAAGGGGAAAAATATTTTGAAAGTGAGCTAAAGCTCAGTGTATCCCAACAGTACAATAAAATCATAGTAGATACAATAAACAAGTAATAGTTCAATAAATCATCATAAAATCGTAATGAATTTTAGCTTTTGAAACTCTTAGTTTAAACTCTCCCCTCGTACACCATTTGCAGTTCCTAGAACTGCGTCCATAGAGCTTACCCTAATCACACACCAAAAGGGAGCCAACCTAAGGATATGCCTTGGGGCCTATGTATCCTTAGGTCCATAGGGCTTACCCTAAGCACACAACAAAGGGAGTTAACCTAAGGGAGCTAACCTAAGGGAGCATCTTGGGGTCCGAGAGCCTACCTAAGAGTCACATTAGGTCCGTAAGATTTTACCATCTTGATCAGAGTTGTACCTCCGTACTTTAGTTCTACACAAAATCGGTATCTCAAAAATATAATTTATACAGTAAGCATAATTTTCATAAATCCGTAATTATCGTTATCATATACCAGTGAAAACCAATAATCATATATCAGTCATAGTCAATAAGTCATCACCAGTAAGTCGGTGCATCAATAAAATAGTAAACCATAATTTCGATGTACCATATTTCAAAATAGATAAAACAATTAAGTAGTACATAGGGAACACACCTTAAAAATAGGGTCAAACTGTAGATCTATTGAGTACCAGCCTCACCAGGCTTTGTTACAGTTTTCGAACCTAATTCATAATAACACTACATTACTAGTGGGTAACATAATTAATTTATGAAATAGTAAGATTTACAAGTTGTACGAGTGAATACTGACACATGCGGTCTAAAGGATTTAGAGGAGCTGGGTCGAGTTATCGAGCGATCAGGAGAGTGTCTTGTACCATCATATAACAATAACTAATCAGCCTCAAGTCTTAATTTAATCATTCAAAGCTAAAACTCTTAAATATATATGTATGTTCAAGTTTGACTGATAATTTGAAGGCTTTCGAGTTCGAATTTGGAAAAACAGACTTCAGATTCAGGACGTCGAAAAACATAAAATATGACTTTTTCGAAAATTGACTTTTTGGTCAAAGTCAAAAGTCAATGGGTTTGACTGTCAATTTCGAGGCTTTCAAGTTCGAATTTGATAAAACGAACTGCGGAATCGAACTCAAGACATCGAAGAACATAGAATATGACTTTTTGAAAAATTTGATTTTTTTGTCAAAGTCAACGGGTCGGGTAGGGCAAACGGGTAGGGCAGACGGGTAGGGCAGTCGGGTCAGACCGGGTCGAGCAGTCGGGTCGAACCGGGTCGGGTCAAACCGGTTCAAGCTGTCCACCACGCGTGGACATTTCCCACACGTAGGGGTAACGCGTGCGGTGGCATGGGAGTCCCAAAAAATTACCGAAAATTTTCTAAAATTATTTAATGGGATTTTGAGACACTTAACAAGTTCGGTTTAAAATTTTGAACGGTGGAGAGCTCGATTTAAAAACATCGGAAACTTTAACTTCCTCACCTCCTTCACGCACCGACGACGACGGAGACAAGAAGGGCACCGATGGACTCGGAACGACACAAGGAACAAGATGGTGCGGGAGGTGTCGAAAACAAAGAAACTATCGACGCTTTTCACGACAGTGGTGTTAAAAAACGTCGAAACTTTGAATCAAAATTCACGACGTTAGACAACGTTTCGCTACGAGCGGTTTACGTGGTTTTGTTGATCAGTCGACGACGAACCAAACGGGAGTGGTGGTGTAAGCTAGAATGGCAGGAACGCAACGGGATCGGCTTTGGAAGAAGAGGTGCTGGGAGAGGAAATGTTTAAGCAATTTGTTTTCTCTTTCGAAATCAGAAAACAAAATTGCACGCATTTAACAAGATTGGTTGTCAACACTAAATGGTGAAATTTAGGGTTAGGTCCCTGAATTTCTTTCAATTTCTAAAACAGCCTACAAGTTCTAAAAACTTTTCAATTAATCCCCAAATTTCACCAAATTGCTTAAATATAAATATTTTTTTCGGGTTGTTACATCGCCAAGGTGATCCCTTGAGTCCATATTTGTTCTTAATTTGCAATGAAGGCTTATCCTCATTGCTACGTTAAGAAATGACTTTAGGAACTGTGAAGGCTGTTCGGATTAATCATTATGCGCCAATGATATTGCACTTGCTTTTTGCTAATAGCAGACTCATGTTTGGGGAGACTATGCCTATGGTTGCTTCTCACCACAAAGATTTACTATGAACCTATGGTGAGAGCTCATGTCAAGTGATAAACTTTAACAAGTTAGGACTTTTTTTAGTTCTAATATGCTTAATGGTAACCAGGAGGATGTTAAGTGTATTTTGGAAGTGGAAAACACCTCCAACCTGGAAAAATATTTGGGGCTCCCGGCTATTGTAGGGAGGAATAAGAATAAGAGCGTTTATTCATCTCAAACATAAGTTCCTTGCTAAAATTCACAACTGGTGTGTTCTCACTCTATCATAGGGTGAGATAGAAGTTTTCATTAAATCAGTGCTTTAAGCTATTCCACTATATGCTATGAACGTCTTCTTTTTGTCGAAAATTCTGTGTTCAAAGCTTGAAAGAATAATGGCTAGATTTTGGTGGTAAAATTTGAAATAGAAGCGAGGGATTTATTAGTGTACGTGGAAGTTTTTATGCTTGAAAGAGTAAGGGGCTTAGATTTCAAGATTTAGCAAAAATTCAACATTGCTCTCTTGGCAAAGCAAGGATGTCACCTCATCACAAACCCGATTTCTCTAGTAAGTAGAGTTTTTAGAGTGAAATAATATCCTCACAATGACTTTCTTAGTGCTCAACTTGGTAACCAACCCTCGTACATTTGGCGTAGTATTTGGAGTGCTCGATGTTTACTGGAAAGTGGATTACGATAGAAAATAGACTCGAGAACTTCTATCTTCATTTATAACAATTTTTGGCTTCCTAGTAATTGACCACACTTCATAACCTCCCCGAGAATAGGTGCTCTGGAAACTGTGTTTGATCTTATCGATAATGGATTGCACTATTGGAGGGATGATGATGTTCTCTCGTCTTTCTTAATTGAGGAAGTAGATTTGATCTTGGCGATCCCATTGTTATGTTTCACTCAAGAAGATAGAAGGGTGCGGTGTGGTGAGAAAACATGTTTGTATAGTGTGCGTAGTGGATATCGAATGTTTTTACATGAAGAGACCAGTTCACAAGAAAATCTGGGTTGAGGCTTGTCAACGCAAAATCAAGATAGAAGTTTGGAAATTTGCCTTGAACTTCATTCCGAAGAAGCATAATTTGCATATCAAACAACTAATAAATGATCTATTTTATCCTAATTCTACAAATTTAGTCAAATCTTCTATTCATGTTATTAGGGATTGTCGATTGGTAAAAGGTGTATAGGCTTGTTTCAACATAGATTGGCCCGAGCAAATGAATACATTGGAGTTTCCCGATTGGCTTGAATGGGTTTTATCCCATGGAGCATCGCACAAACATATGAAAACTTTTGGTAATGATGTGGGCACTATGGTACTACCGATATTTACAGTATCATGAAGGTAAGCGAACGAGAGTGGATGAAGCCATTACTTTTTTCGTGCTCGCAGTGTTGAGGTCTCCACTACATGTGTCCGTACTGAAGGTCTCTTCCAGTCTCCCTCTGTTTGTTGGAGTTTGCCTATTGGTTCCGCAATGAAGGTCAATTTCGATGTCAGTTTCTCGCAAGTTCACAAAATAGCTCGATCAGGTGTTATAATAAGAAATAGCTCATGCCAAATAATGGATGCATGTAGACGATTACAACGAAGAGTTACCTTGCCGTTTGTGGCAGAAGCTATGGCAGTGGTTCATGCAGTCTCTTTTGTCACGGATCTGGGCTTTTGAGAGGTGATAATTGAGGGAGATTTCAGATCTGTAATCACAAAGCTCTCCTTCCGACTGTTGATTCTTTGGAATCGGTGCTCTCATTTGGGAGGCTCAAAGACGTGCTGAGGCTTTTAATCCATGCTTGTTTAATTTCATTCCCAGAGCTGGCAATCGGGCGGCACACCTATTGACGGCTGACGATGACGAGTGGAAGAATATTTCTTCTAGATTGAAGAAGCTCCTCGACGAGTGGAAGAATAAGCTGATGAAGACAAGAGGTGTTCGGACGCTCATTAGTTTCGTGTTTCTAGCGAGATTTGTTGTGCTATGTTAGTTTCAATCAGATTTTCTATCCGCTTCTCTAATCGGCAAGTGTTTTCAACATTTTCTCTGAGTTTTGGTTCAGAAGATGAAGGGCCAGCCATTTTCTACTTTACTTTGTTTTTTCTTTATTATTTCACGGTTTTTTTTTTATTGTTCTTCGAGTTTGTTCGTTCTTTATTTTTGTGATTAGCTGGACATCATTGTTTTAGTTTGTTTCAAGACGTTGGTCCATTGGCTTTTATTTCAATAAAAAGACAGGTGTTTCTTTGGTTAAAAAAACTATATTTTTTAGATTATGAATTTTAAATTTAATAGGGACACTCTCCTTTTTTTTTTTTTTTAGTCTCTCTTTCTTTCTTAAAGAAATAAGATTAAAATTAAATTTAAAATTTATTTGAAAAAATAAAGTAAATCACATGCACTAATAGAGTAACATCTGATTTCTTTTCTTCTATTTTTTGTTTTTATATTTTAGGATGGGATGGGTAGTTCTGCTGTGCAGCGTTTAAAAAACGGTTAATATACGGCGTAATCGGTTAAACAAGTGACCGGTTAAAATTTAGATCGGTTATGTTATATTATTTAACCGAAAATATTATCAAGTACAATAACATATTAGGTAACGCTTATATAATAAAATAGGTATTTAACCGGAAATATTATCAAGTACAATAACATATTAGGTAACGCTTATATAATGTAATAGGTAGCGCTTATATTGACCTATTTTATAAGTAAATTGGTATATTTATACAGGTAACATTACAAATTTACCTATTACATTATAATTATCGGTTTCGATATTTTTTGGATCAATACTTTTATAAATGTATCGACACTATATGCGTTCATCTTTTGTCATTTATAGACCGGTTTTATCATATTTTTACATGTTATATTATTATGGATCGATGCATTTTTATAAAGTATCGACACTTTATTGACGCTATAACTTCTTCTCTTATTAATTCCAAAAGTGTCGGTACTTATAATAAATTATCGACACTTTCAACATATCCGGTAGCGCTTTACCTGTTTTGTCATTTCGAGACCGGTTTTGTCATATTTTTACCTGTTATATTGTTATGGATCAATACATTTTTATAACATATCGACACTTTATTGGCGCTATAACTTCTTCTCTTTTAAATTCTAAAAGTGTCGATACTTATAATAAATTATCGACACTTTCAACATAACCGGTAGCGCTTTACCTGTTTTGTCATTTCGAGACCGGTTTTGTCATATTATTACCTGTTATATTGTTATGGATCGATACATTTTTATAAAGTATCGACACTTTATTGGCGCTATAACTTCTTCTCTTTTAAATTCCAAAAGTGTCGATACTTATAATAAATTATCGACACTTTCAACATAACCGGTAGAGCTTTACCTGTTTTGTCATTTCGAGACTGGTTTTGTCATATTTTTACATGTTATATTGTTATGGATCGATACATTTTTATAAAGTATCGAAACGTTATTGACGCTATAACTTCTTCTCTTATTAATTCCAAAAGTCGATACTTATAATAAATTATCGACACTTTCAACATAACCGGTAGCGCTTTACCTGTTTTGTCATTTCGAGACCGGTTTTGTCATATTTTTACATGTTATATTATTATGGATCGATACATTTTTATAAAGTATCGACACTTTATTGGCGCTATAACTCTTCTCTTTTAAATTCCAAAAGTGTCGATACGTATAATAAATTATCGACACTTTCAACATAACCGGTAGCGCTTTACCTGTTTTGTCATTTCGAGACCGGTTTTGTCATATTTTTACCTGTTATATTGTTATGGATCGATACATTTTTATAAAGTATCGACACGTTCTTGACGCTATAACTTCTTCTCTTATTAATTCCAAAAGTCGATACTTATAATAAATTATCGACACTTTCAACATAACCGGTAGCGCTTTACATGTTTTGTCATTTCGAGACCGGTTTTGTCATATTTTTACATGTTATATTGTTATGGATCGATATATTTTTATAAAGTATCGACACTTTATTGGCGCTATAACTCTTCTCTTTTAAATTCCAAAAGTGTCGATACGTATAATAAATTATCGACATTTTCAACATAACCGGTAGCGATTTACCTGTTTTGTCATTTCGAGACTGGTTTTGTCATATTTTTACCTGTTATATTGTTATGGATCGATACATTTTTATAAAGTATCGACACTTTATTGGCGCTATAACTTCTTCTCTTTTAAATTCCAAAAGTGTCGATACTTATAATAAATTATCAACACTTTCAACATAACTGGTAGCGTTTTACCTGTTTTGTCATATTATTACCTGTTATATTATTATGGATCGATACATTTTTATAAAGTATCGACACTTTATTGGCGCTATAACTTCTTCTCTTTTAAATTCCAAAAGTGTCGATACTTATAATAAATTATCGACACTTTCAACATAACCGATAGCGCTTTACCTGTTTTGTCATTTCGAGACCGGTTTTGTCTTATTTTTACATGTTATTTTGTTATGGATCGATACATTTTTATAAAGTATCGACACATTATTGGCGCTATAACTTCTTCTCTTATTAATTCCAAAAGTCGATACTTATAATAAATTATCGACACTTTCAACATAACCGGTAGCGCTTTACCTGTTTTGTCATTTCGAGACCGGTTTTGTCATATTTTTACATGTTATATTGTTATGGATTGATACATTTTTATAAAGTATCGACACTTTATTGGCGCTATAACTCTTCTCTTTTAAATTCCAAAAGTGTCGATACGTATAATAAATTATCGACATTTTCAACATAACCGGTAGCGCTTTACCTGTTTTGTCATTTCGAGACGGGTTTTGTCATATTTTTACATGTTATATTGTTATGGATCGATATATTTTTAAAAAGTATCGACACGTTATTGGCGCTATAACTTCTTCTCTTATTAATTCCAAAAGTCGATACTTATAATAAATTATCGACACTTTCAACATAACCGGTAGCGCTTTACCTGTTTTATCATTTCGAGATCGGTTTTGTCATATTTTTACATGTTATATTGTTATGGATCGATACATTTTTATAAAGTATCGACACTTTATTGGCGTTATAACTCTTCTCTTTTAAATTCCAAAAGTGTCGATACGTATAATAAATGATCGACACTTTCAACATAACCGGTAGCGCTTTACCTGTTTTGTCATTTCGAGACCGGTTTTGTCATATTTTTACCTGTTATATTGTTATGGATCGATACATTTTTATAAAGTATCGACACTTTATTGGCGCTATAACTTCTTCTCTTTTAAATTCCAAAAGTGTCGATACTTATAATAAATTAACGACACTTTCAACATATCCCGTAGCGCTTTACCTGTTTTGTCATTTCGAGACCGGTTTTGTCATATTTTTACCTGTTATATTGTTATGGATCGATACATTTTTATAAAATATCGACACTTTATTGGCGCTATAACTTCTTCTCTTTTAAATTCCAAAAGTGTCGATACTTATAATAAATTATCGACACTTTCAGCATAACCAATAGCTCTTTACCTTTTTTTTCATTTCGAGGCCGGTTTTGTCATATTTTTACATGTTATATTGTTATGGATCGATACATTTTTATAAAGTATCGACACGTTATTGGCGCTATATCTTCTTCTCTTATTAATTCCTAAAGTCGATACTTATAATAAATTATCGACACTTTCAACATAACCGGTAGCGCTTTACTTGTTTTGTCATTTCGAGATCGGTTTTGTCATATTGTTACATGTTATATTGTTATGGATCGATACATTTTTATAAAGTATCGACACTTTATTTGCGCTATAACTCTTCTCTTTTAAATTCCAAAAGTGTCGATACGTATAATAAATGATCGACACTTTCAACATAACCGGTAGCGCTTTACCTCTTTTGTCATTTCGAGACCGGTTTTGTCATATTTTTACCTGTTATATTGTTATGGATCGATACATTTTTATAAAGTATCGACACTTTATGGAATGGCCATTCAGTCTCGCACATGATGTCAATTATGATGACATTTGGTATAATAGAGACAACAATCTCCATATATAGTAAGTATCAACATGACTCTTAATGTGTATAAGAAACATGTCATGTACAACAATCTACTGCTAACGTTTCTCATCTCATTCATAATTACATTCACATAAAAAATTATAAATCGTATACAAAATTACAAATCTAATACAAAATTAACCCTACATTTACATCTTTGCATCCTTTTGTTATTCTTATGTCTCATGGCAACTTTTGTTATCTTCTGTCTTCGTTGATTTTGATTGTGGCTTACGAGATCGTTTAATATTCGCGATCAATCCCACTCTCCAACAACCTATATTCAAATTGTCGGAACGTTAAGTATTGTAAACTACAACATTCAATCTACGACATTTAACAATTTTACCACAAACGAATTTTTTCTTTCCACTTACAAAATCACCAGTTGCCCCTGTTGAACTGATCGATTCCATCCACATCATCACATACATGCCGCAATCATGTATGTTACAAAATTTGAAAACCACACATGTCAATTATGATGAATCTTGCATAAATTAAGCTTTCTATTTATGATAACATCTCATACCCATTCAATTTCTTATTCTTCTTATACTCCACAAATTTGAAATTTTTCAAGGGAAACTTTCCTAGAGATCCACAGTATTCAACCCAAATGCATTTCTTATTATAAAAATCTAATATTTTAATCTGCATTAAAAAAGAAGAAGTTATGATCCAAAAAAGTTATGCATTATAATTTACATAATGTCCTTTCATACATACATACATACATACCAATCTCTTAGCATCCTTCACTCTCTGTTTAGCTGCTTCAGATGTAAACATACTATCATATATTGTTGCAACACGATCTACCATATCCAACACCAACAGATACCAATGTGAATTATGGTAGTTTATTGTGATCATGATCTGCAACAAATTTCACACCCAATTTGACAAAATTCAACATTCTATATCCGAAAACAACATTTGCAATTGGTATGGTGTCTTACCTTCTCACAGTCGGTGAATTTCACATAGTTATCCAATATGGGACCCCAGAAGGTAGCAATACTCTCAACACTTTCTTTCC